AGGAGGAGGAGGAGGAGGAGGAGGAGGAGGAGGAGGGCGATGATGATGCCTTCGTCGTAGCTGTAGTAGTAGGCCTAGTCGTTGTAGTAGTAGTAGTCGTTGCTGCTGCTGCTGCTGCTGCTGCAGTTACTCCTTCTTCTTCTACTTCTACTTCTTCTCTTTCATCTTCTTCTCCTTTTACTTCTTCTGTGTCTTTTATGTCGTTTTCTTCTTCTTCTACTTCTGTGTATTTTTCTTTTATGTCGTTTTCTTCTTCTTCTACTTCTGTGTATTTTTCTTTTATGTCTTTTTCTATTTCTACTTCTTCTACGTCTTTTTCTTCTTTTCCTACTCCTTTTTCTTCTTCTATTTCTTCTTCTTCTACTTCTTCTAGTCCCACTTCGAGGCCTGTCTGTGACCCCGCGTCAACTGGGCGGAGATCTAGATCAGCCGACAAACCACCGCCACTACTACCACTAGCGTGACGGTCGCCGGCGTGAAGAGCTGATGACGCCACCACGCCGCCCCGCGTCCGTGTTTTCTGCGTCATGTCCTCACCGCTGGCGTTCCTCGCTTGCCTTCTCCCACTACTCCTCCTCCTCGCTTCCTCCTCCCCCTCCCTCTCCTCCTCCTCTGCTCCGCGACTCCTGCTCTCACTCTCACCACCGCGTCCCTCGACGCGCACATTGGGTTGAGGTAGCGACGGCCGCGAGGCGGTGCGAGGAGAGGTCGTAGATCTATGATTGACATGTTTTGTGACGGCTGACTGGGCGTCATCTTGCCGCCGCGCTTCGACGCCAGGCGTCAAAATTTCGCCGTTACTTCTGAGCTTCGGAAATGAGTTGATCTCCGCACCATGACCCAAACTAGGAGGCGAATCAAGCGGAGGTAATACCCCACCCCCGCCATGCACAGACGAGCGAGTGGGGCGTGATTTCACGGCAGACCCATTCCAACTGGCAGAGTCCTCCTCAGCCTCCTCTTCCTCCCTTCCTTCCTTCTCCTCATCATCCTCATCATCATCATCGCCGTCCTCATCAGCTAGAAGAGGTTTCATCTCAGTCGCAGAGTCGAGTGGCGATTTTTTTACGACGTCGCGAGACATCGGGGATGAAGACGTCGTAGAGGAAACCTCCTCGCTTCCTTCTTCCTTCCCTTCTCTGGGCCTGTCGCCGTTCTGAAGCGGCGGTCTGGCGTTTTCTGATGATGCCATCTTATCCCAAGTAGTTGAGGTTTTTAAAATTAAATTAATGGCGTTGTTTCTTGTCTTTGATATAGGCCTATATCGTTTTGCTTTTGTTGTTGTTGTTGTTGTTGTTGTTGTTGCTGTTGTTTTTGTTGTTGTTGTTGTTGTTGTTGTTGTTGTTTCTTGTTTCGTGACGTTGATATAGTCCTATATTGTTTTGCTTTTGTTGTTTGTTGTTGTTGTTGTTGTTGTTGTTGTTGTTGTTGTTGTTGTTGTTGTTGTTTGCTGTAATTGTGGTTGTTGTTGTTGCTATTGTTGCTGTTGCTGCTGTTGTCTTCAGTGGTTCTTAAAGCTGTTGTTTTTGTGGGCGTTTTTTTGCTGTTGTTATTGTTGTTGTAGTTTTAGTTCGGCGGGTCCCAAAAAAAAAAACCCCAGTGTGGTGAGGTGAGGACTGGGTCTATTTCGGGGTGCGGAGTTTTTCTCACAGTTATGTCTACAACTTCACAGAGGTGGGGAAACTGCTCCGCCTGTATACGTCACAAAGACTCGATCAAGTCACTCGCCAAGTCTACAGGGCCGGCTATCTACCCAACCACCTGGATGAGTTAGGCTGGCAGAAACCGAATCCCCTCCCTCGCTGAACGTTCACAAACACGACACATATTTTCCCCCCCACGGCGCTGTGGACTTCTGTTTCTCCGATGGTGGGAAGTAGATGGGCAAAAAAAACAACCCAACATCCAATGTTCCTTTATCTCATCAAAATTCCCACACTTTTGGCTTGTTCTACATATCCACTTAGAATGATTCCAAAGAATAAAAATCACTTTTGGTTTCTACATAACCACTTATAAAGATTTCAAAAAACAAAAATCACTTTTGGTTTCTACATAACCACTTATAAAGATTTCAGAGAACAAAAATCACTCTTGGCGAGTACTACATAGATTCTATCCAATTATAAAGATTTCAGAGAACAAAAATCACTCTTGGCGAGTACTACATATCCACTTAGAATGATTTCAAAGAATAAAAATCACTCTTGGCTAGTACTACATATCCACTTAGAATGATTTCAAAGAATAAAAATCACTTTTGGATTCTACCAATCTTAAACAAATGAAAATCAGAACAAAAGAGAAAGCACTTTTTTGGTGGTTCCACTCCTCTGTTTCGCAGCTCGACTACACAACTTTAAGTCAACTCTATACACACCGCCACTTGGTGACGACTAAAGATATCTAAAAGAACTCTACAGGAGAGAATAAATAATTACTCATAGTCATAGGCGGACACGACAAATTCTGATGTTCTAACAACTCGTCATGTTGCGTTCACCCACAAAGCGACTGACGGGCAGGACTGACCACAGACGAAACGCCAACCGGAACCAGGAGATGATTAATAAAGGCGATCAGCATGTCCTCCCACTTTTGGACCACAGGGGAGGGGAGCGGTTGCATTCTGAGTAAGACAAACTACTACAACAGTTGTTGATGACGGTGTTGGTGGTGATGGTGGTGGTGGTGGTGATGGTGATGGTGATGGTGGTGGTGATGGTGATGATGGTGGTGATGGTGGTGGTGATGGCGTTGTTGACGACGGTGGAAAAGGATTCCGTTAGCCTACAGTTGGTGTTTCTGCACAGCGCGTCTGACACTAGAGTCTATAAGGCAAGGAAGGACACATCACAATGTACGCCCTCCAATATTGTGGAAATCCTGAGGGTTGGGCGAAAAAAACTTCGCTGTTTTGTCGAATTGGATGGAAAGGACGAAGAAGTTCGTAGTTTCGCCTAATACTGGCGGGTAAACGAAGATTTTCGCAGTTTTGACTAAGCTAAATCTTGAGAGACGGACAAAGTATTTCGCAGTTTTGACGAATTCTGTTGCGACGAACGAAGATTTTCGCTGTTTTGACTAATCCTGAGAGATGGCAAAAGAATTTCGCAGTTTTTTGGCGAATTCTGTTGGGATGAACGAAGACTTTCGATGTTTTTGTCGAATCTGACCGGATGTACGAAGAGTTTCGTAGTTTTGCCAAATCCCGTGTTACTGACGGACACTTTCGCTGATTTGTCAAATTCTCCGGGATGGACGAAGAAGTTCGCTTTTTATGCCAGATTCGACAGGATGTACGATTACGAAGAATGCCTTAGTTTTCTCTAATCCTGATGAACCGACGAAGATTTTCGCTGGGGGTTTTATTTTTCAACTCATGAATGGAATAGACAAAGTAGTTCGCTTGTTCTCTTTGCCTATTTCCTCGCCCAAGCTTCGTTGTTCTGTGCAGACACAGTGCAGGGTAGGCCCTACATTTATTGTTGGGAAATGTTGAGGGTAGAGGATTAGCGTCTTTTACGATGACTGGCAGGGGGTGGCTGGCATGGGAACGTCATCTGGAATAAATAAATAAACAAATAAATAGATAACTACAAGAATAGATAGATCTAGATAAATAAATAAAGACAGAAAGACAGAAAGACAGAAAAAAG